ATTTGGTTGGATTTTTATAGGGCAAGAAATGGGGGAAAAGCATGTGCATTTCAATCTGCACGGAACTTATTTGCATCGGGTTTCCATGGCTGTTGCCGTGATGTGTTTGGGCGATCAGTTTCATTGTCATCTGCTTTGGTTCTTTTATCGTCAAATTTCATTTTTCCGGACAAGTTAATGTTAAATGTTAAATTACCCAGATATTTAACTGACAACTTTTCATGCAATGTTACTTGGGGTGACGTTTCTTTTGCGATTCAGTATATATTTCGCGCTTAAATGCCAACATAAAAAAAACTTTCTTTCAGTTCCCAGTCCAAGAAATGTAACTTCCTTTGTCAAATATCTAATTTCTGTATTCAAATAAATATATCTTCTGTTAGCATCAGCAAGACTTTTGTTGTATTTTTAAGTATACATCATAACCTAAAGATCATATCATGAGCACTGGAAATAAATACTGTTATAAGTATATATGTTGAGGCACAATGGCATTTCCTCTGACACATGGAGCTGTCTCCCCCTAGACCACAACTTCAAGGATATTAAAGGAACATCAAACAGGTTTTCAGTTCTTACAAGGCGTGTCAGACGAATGTGCGGGGAACGTCCAAATGATACACATATTGGAAGTTTACCACGTTGTTGATACAATCAAAACACAATACAAAATTCACAATACTAAATACAATCAAAACCTTGAAACATAAACGGGGCGATTCTGAGATACGAACCCGCGTTTATGGCATGAAAATCAGATCTTTGTGTTCGCTCCCGCGACATGATTAGCCTGGGAACACATCAGGTTAGGAACGACCTCTGGCAAACTGTGACTGACCAATGAAATATAAATTAGCTAATCAGAAAGAATCATTTCTCGAACGCTGCAAAACGTTTCATACTTTCATTTCAGACGACGATTCGATGAATATATTTGACATTGTTCTCAGCTCAAAATTTGAAAACTGAACAAAAGATGATTCTGTAATGTCTAGCAGATGGCCGAGATTGTATGACATAGGCTTTACATAGTCTCTTCTGTTTAAAACTTTTATCCCATTGGAGATGGATGGGGAAGACAATGTCTATTATTCAGGATCAGTCCTACATAACTGTCGTTCGGAATGCCCCAGAAGACAGCATGACAAGAGGATGAATTGAACTTTCCAATAGTCAACTTTCTTTTTATTTCGAGCAATATTCAAGCAGCTCCAGCGTTTGGTGTCTACATGTTAGAACCTTTGAGGTGAAATCGAGCATGGTATCATCCTTTTTTCATAGTGATTCATACATAATGTTCAACATAAAATCGGAATCGTCAACTCTGCTTGTAACAGAGATTTCGTATAATTGATGGATAACTAATTTATTGATTTTCCAAGACTACTGTTGGACAAAATTTTGTACCTGACATTTTAGTTGCTTTTGTGAATATTTGTCGTTCAGGTAATTGTAAAATATAACCTCTTAAAGTCTATTAATATTTGTAATGAAAGTGTGAAACGCACAAAATGTTCAGACAGACTGAAAGCTGACACGGAAGAAAAAGGGAAAGAGGAAACAATCCGTTTAATATATTTTTATCTTTGTTGTGGGAACGATACATTTTCGCCCAGTGTTATTTTTATTTTAATTGTTCATCTACATTTTAAGTATTGTGTAGGTATGCATTTGGCGCTGAGGGGTGTGAAGGAGCATAGGGCCATACGGATGTTCAGGCACCCATGAATGACCTCATCAGGACCATTCTGTACACGACATTTGGTTTGGTTGGTAATGTTCTTTAAACAAGCTTTCATCAATAAGCAACACACCGTATCAATATTAAGCGGCAGCTGTATCTTAATCTCGACCAAATGATGGGAAAAAAGGCAGTAAAGCAACTCACAGTCTGTGCCAATAATCCTACTACAAATTTATAAAACTACCTATCTACGTCTCTATTTTTTAATCCATTCTGTTTATTTAAAAAAGAACAATGATATAATCATAATATTACCAATATTATTAAAAAGAACCTTTATGTATTGGAGACCCAGCGTGTAATAGTGAAAATATTGAAACATTTTACAATTCCTATGGGTGATCGATCGGCAGCCATTTTTCTAAAAAATCGGTATGTATTCATATGTTTGTTTGTTTGTTTGTTTGTTGTTCAACGTCGCACTCAGCAATATTCCAGCTATATGACGGCGGTCTGTAACATAATCGAGTCTGGACCAGACAATCCAGTGATTGACATCATGAGCATCGATCCACGTAATTGGGATTAATGATATGTATCAACCAAGTCAGCGACCCTGACCACCCGATCCCGTTAGTCGCCTTTTACGACCAGCATAGTCACCTTTTACGACAAGTATGGGTTTCTGAAGACCTATTCTACCCTGGAATCTTCACGTGTCGTATTCATCATCACAAATCAGGCAAATTCATGTTCTGGGTAATTTTTTTTATTTTTCATTTTTCAAGACGAAGATATCTTCGTTTCTATCACCCATCCTGTTTTCACATCAAAATAATGTACCGACAAATGAGGCTGCGAGGCCCCTTTTGGTACTCAAGATTTCAGGAGTCTATTTAGAGGGTATTCAGTACTCAGCGAAGTGGTACGCAGGACTCATATACAATCGTATTTGTTATGCAGATGCAATATTTATATATAAAAAATGTAATGTGTCCACCAAAATTTCCTTTATATATTTATTCTTTTTCCATTAGTTTTCAGTAATTAACTTGAAATCCAACCCTTTTCACAATGCTTTTGTGGTTTGTGTTGAGTAGTATTGTGGTTTCAGGGTGGTGCAAATGAAAGATGAGATTATATAAAGTATTCAGGGAAGGAGGGGGTTGGCCTCCTCAAATATGTAGCAAACTTCATCCTGCATGTTTTGTGAATATAATAAGAGAGACCTTTACTTGCAGAATCAGAGAAGGGTTTCAAGTACGCCAGACCATGAACTGAATATGTGAATTTATGTACACCAGAATTGTGCCAAATACATAATCTTAGCATGTAATCTGATAAAAAGTTCTTGGTCCTTTGTAATTGTTTTCGAGGGTAGTCTGTCATGGATTATATGTAACAATGCATTATATTTGTATTTACTTAACCAAGTTTGTTTAGTTTGTGTGGATTCAACGAACACAAAACGGCTGGTCCAGTTGGTTTTCAATTCCCTCCTCGCCACATCGACCTTTTTGCTTGGCAATTACAAGACCTCGCATTTGGTACTTTTGTTTGATGAACTAGTACACCCCCACGTCCACACAATATCTAAGTTTGCGTCTTCAATATGCCGAGAATAACAGAACATCACTTCATTGTGATGTAGATTAATATGCAATATGGCGGACGTCTCTCCGCAAAGACGTTACAACCTGAATTCGTGATGATTGTGGGATCAGGGCAGTTCTGTGTTGCTTTTTAGATAACAAAGAAATCACCATTAGGTAAATATGTACATTGTAAGAGTCATTAACATGTCCTTAACGTCTCTTTTTCAAAGATCTCCTTTAATATAAGTGGTGAAATTTTATATCAGCTAATATTTACTCCAAAGTTTACCAAGTACAATATCACCTGCAACATACTTTTTATTCACTTCGAAAGACGTAGCAAACATAATCTCCTAACATGAGAGGGCTTGTATAATGCCGCGCTCAGCCTTTTCAAAGAGGCCACTTAAGGGATCGTGTTGTCAGGGTTGAAGACTTGGTTCATCATATCTCAATTTTGTGAATCGATGCTCACGTTTTCAAACACTGGATTGACCTGCGCCATTGACAACTAACAAGTGTTTTCCATTCATTGATCGGATGGTCACAATGAATAACTTGGTTGACAACGGGGTGTTTCGACACAGGGACGTAGATCATTGTTTTATATGCTGATCAATAATCGATTGGATGATCAATACCGGTACAAGAAACGCTTCTAAAATTTCACTTCAATCCCCAGCGATGGCACATCTTAATAATTGTGTTCTACCAATTCATAAAATAGCTTGGTTTCCCAAATGTATCATACATTTCTATTTCTTTGAATATAATGTGTTCTCTGTTGCATACAGCGTTCACGCAAAGCTATGAGTCCTATTAGAGAAAGTGATTGAGTTCATCCGCCACTTTTATAAATATTCAAGCAATGGAATCGAACCTGGGTCTTCAGCACGAACACTCTGATTACTAGGCTACCCTACCGCCCGAGCAAGTACTTTATTTTGTTTAGCTCTCTTTGATCATTATTAATTTAAAATATAAAAAGTCAGAATAGGTCTTCAGCAACCAAAACTTCTGAATGCTTGTCGTAAGAGGTGACTGACGGGATCGGTTGGTCAGGCTCGCTGACTTGGTTGATGCATGTGATCGTACCCCAATTGCGTAGATCAATGCTCATGATGTGAATCACTGGATTGTCTCGTCCAGACCCTATTATGTACAAATTGCAATAGCTAGAATATTGGTGAGTGCGACGTTAAACAACAAAATCAAATATATAAGTACATTCATGAGTAGTTTTGACTGAAACTCCGTCAACTGGTGACCCAGTGGACTTAAAGCACATCAAATTTATTTGAGCTACGCGTCCCTTAGTAGTGCAGGAATGTGCTAAATATCACATTTTCATCGATTTTGGAGCCTTGGTAAGTCATCACCATGTCAATGTGAAAGAAAACGTCTTCGGTGTTATTTCTGAACTATTCAAAGATGTGTCAGGATCCCATGATTGTGGGAAAAAACATAAAGCACTGTATCACTGTACATAAAAGCAGTTCCATAGAGTTGCGATCGATTTGCACACTTGTTTGTTTGGCGAAATTAACTTTTTTTCTCTCAAACGCTCAATCGTAGTCTTTGATTGAACATCCAAGGCAGTCTGAGTTATATTGATTTTTCAACAATGAAGCATGTAGCTTCGCCTACTGCATTCCGACCTCAATCAATTCTTAGTTACTTGCTTTCGAGGTTGAGATCAAAGATTTTCAAATCTGGTCTGGTATTTTTCCACTCATTTCAAAGACGCAGTTACATTCATTCCTGTTTTTCACATGGGCGTTGCTTCAGTTGAAAGCAAAGACAGTCAGATAACAAAGAAAACCCACTGAGGAAGTTCACATGGCTTTACTCCACTGAGGGGTCCAACTTTAGAGGTGAAGTATGAGATTCAACATTCATTACTGATACCTTTCCCTTACTCATTTCTTTTCTCACAAAAGAGGAAAATGCAATTTTGTCTTTTTACCGTAGTCCTTGTCCTGATTGGGGGAGGATTAGGTAGTTGTGGCACTTGCTTCAACGCATCTTCTGTTGTGGAGGTAGATGCGCATATGGAACATTACGTGTTTAGGAAAGTAAGGTCACCGTCTCTCTATTCATGTGCATCGGAATGTCTGATGTCTTCAGTCTGCATGTCCTTCAACTTTGAGACCAAGACTCGCATCTGTGAACTCAACAGCAACAGAAGTGATCTTGTGACCGTCACACCGCGGCCAGGATTTCTTTACAGTGACATCAACCACTGGCCTGAGGTAGTTATATTATCAATCACTTATTAATCCTATTTTTCGTTGTGAGGTCAAAATGTCAAAACCATGTCATGTAACTTTCTTTACATTCTTTACACATTGGTATACCTTTTTATATTTACTTTATGCCAAGAAGAAACTGTGATATTTATGTTTATTTGTTTGTTGTATAAACATACTGGAATATGTTTATTTTTGCGAAAAATGACCGTTGTCATCGGTCTACAATAACTCAAAGAGCTTACACCATCAAATCCTTAAGGTCAACCACCGTACACCTTGTGGTCTGGACACATTAAACCATCTCTCTCTCTCGCTCTCTCTCTCTCTCTCTCTCTCTCTCTCTCTCTTTCTTTGATGTTGTATATGTTGCAGGGGAACCGTTCAGGTAGCAGAGGAATTGTTAGTCCCCTGTGTACCTAGTGTGTGGCCTAACTTTTGTTATCTATAGCCCGATTATTTTAATGTATTTTTGTCTAATCATTTATGGGGGCACGGGTGGCACAATCGACTAAGGCGCCGTGATTCGCTGTGCAGAGTTGCGTCCCCTGGACACGCCAGAAACCTATGGTTGTGGGTTCGAATCCGGGTTCATCCCGATTATGTTTCTAGGTTTGTCGGCACCATACCCGTGCTCGTGAGTTTCACCCAAGTGGTAAACGTCTAAGACCTGAATCACTTTGGGCTTTCCTCCCACATTAAGCTGACACGCCGTGATAGAACTGGAATAATGTTAAAAGCGGCGTTAAACCCAACTCACTCACTCCAATCATTTGTTCTTTCAATTAGCTAAATCGGCTGTGCTAAATATCTATCTGAATCATGTGCATTGGAAGCACACTAAACACCATATGAATGTATTGTTTATAAATAGTCACTCGCTGGAGCCTGTTCGAAGACACCTTGTCCGACGTCCAGGTGCCAATTAGATCGGCTCGGACGTGCATCATGTGAGACAGGTAAATCTTTTACTGGTAACAGGTAATTCTATTTTACGCTATTTTTTATTGAAATCATATGGCTTGGACTGACATGACATGCCATATGAGAAAGTGTTTGTCACGAATGACTTTTTCCAGGACAAAGCGTCTGCCCGGGGATCGGTGTTTCGACCCCGGCTATGTCACATCAAAAGATATCAAAACCTGGTATTTGTTGTTTCCCTGCCTGGCGCCGGGCATTAAGGGAATAAAACAAGGACTAGTCAGAGTGGGACACACATGTTAAACTGCGCGATGGCATTTCAGTTAGCCAGCAAAGAATAAGTTATTAGACTAGTAACCGCAGCCACACCCACACATGAACGAACACACACAGACACACAATTAGTGCAAGTATAATCGTGTCATGTATATTGATCGTGTTGATAGCGACCTAACCTAACCCAAGAACAATAACTGAGAAAAGAAATAGGGTTTCAACGTTCGAGCATGATTTTTTAACTGTCAGTGACCTCTCAAATGTATTAGTAGTTGGGCGGCCCCATTAATCTGTTGCAATCGGCGGCGTTCAACTCTAAAATCCCAATAATGACAGATTGGTCAAACATACATGTACTCACTTTAAGCTTAAAATAAACCAATATGTTATATGATTGGGTTTTAATGTACAGAGTTTCAGGGTTGTGGCGCACCACCTTCTGTTGCCAATGCTGAGATTCATTATGACGGTGTGTACGAAGGAGCAGTTGCAGAATACACTTGCAAGGACAACTTCATAATGTGCACGGATAGAAACAGCAAAGTCTGTCAGTTGACAGGAAATTGGAACGGTTCTGTCGGCCCGTGCGCACAGTACAGTTGGGACAACCCGGTAAGATGGTTATGTGGTACAGTATGAGCGTTGATTATGAAGGTAGCATCAATAATTGTGACAAGATGGATAGGTGAGATGGACTCAATTATATCAACCAAATAAAACCGCTGTAAGAATTAAAAATGACACGGAGTGTACGTGGCATTACACACATAGATCGGCGATGTCAGAACTAGTAGAACTGGTCTTTGGAACTTGATCCGGTTGGTCTGCCCTTGTGTAAAATATAACGATTTTATATGACTGTGCAAAAGAGTGAACAAACAGTATGTGGAAATGAATGTGTAATGGGAATTCGATTCGATTTCCATCGGACAAAATCATGTGTCAGAAACAGCAAAGGCAGTCGTACAATAAAATGCATATGAAACTGAAAACATTTGCGTTGGCAATACAAATCTGTGCTACTGTGTTCCATTAACAGCATATAAGAACATCACATCACACGGATGATGCTGAGACAGAGACATGTTATTCTACAATTAATAACGTCCTTGCTAGATATTTTTGATCTGCAAATAAAAAAATGTTTGATGCAATAGGAAATCAAGAATGTTTTCCAAACATCCCGAGAGACGTTACAAAATTAAAAGTGAAATCAAATATAAAAAACGTTACCTTCATTTGAGGTGTTTATGCCAGTAGGCATACTCCTGCTAACGTAACTGAGTGAGTTCAAATTTAACGTCGCATCAGCATTATTTCAGCCATATAACGACCAGACCAAGTAAATATATTTACAATTTACTTGTTAAAGCATATATTCTATTTAAAAACAAGTTTTGAAACATATCTGAGCATAACAATATCATGTATAAAGTTCTAAAACACGGGCTATAGGCCACTAGTAACCAAAGCTGGGCCACCTCGATGGGGATCGTGGGGACTTACAGTGCATCTGCTTCCTGCATGACACCCCAGGGGGATTTAAGTCATCGCTTTAGCTACTTTTGGTTGGACAATAATTTTACGTTACTTTAACCCCCTGGACAGAGCCTTCCATAATGTCAATTGATAATAGCATTACACCAAAGTTGGAGACAAGCATTTTTGTATTCACATGCACATTTAAAAATTGTTATACAGACCAATTTCTTTCAAATAGCTGATAATAAGATGTCCGTTGACACGGTCCTGCTAAAGGAAACACCAGCTAAAATAGGTATGTAAATGTTTGCAAAGGATTCAGAAATTATGCAGCTTGTTAAAAACATTTTAAGTACCCTTTTCTTCATTTACATAGGTGACGAACTTCCTCATGGTCGTGCCTTGTGGGAATGCAACGAATTTCAAAGTGGCAATGAACATCACCCCAACCGTTATACGGTAAAAATAGATATTCGCATTCATGATTATGAAGAACAAAAGAATAAGCGTGACTACTCAGAGTGTGTATTTGGCTCCGTGGCAATTCCAGGTTAGCGGTGTTCCCCAGTAACATATGCTTGCGATGCAACGGTTCGAGTGGTCCCCTGACTAGCCCCCTGACGGTGTGATGGTGTGAGTCGTTACTCATAAAATCAAACACTGCATGGTCTGCCGCGGACTCGATTATTTACAGGAGGCTGTCATACTGATTGAATATGACGGACTGCGGTGTTACAAACCTTCATGTAATAATTACTCTTAATGTAAAAATATTTTACATTTAAGTGTTGCCGGTTAACCCTTGTTACAACTCTGAATGTTACAAAATACTCTTAATGTAAAAGGGACAGACTGCGGAGTCTCAAGACCGTACATGTGGCGAGTCATTATAGCCACACTTTACATATTGTGTTTGTATTTATAAGAGTTTCGATAGCACATGGGAATCAAGACAGACAAGAGATGACCCATTTGGGGCAATGTCATGTGATTAAATTCAAAAGCATTTATCAGTGACATTGCTATTAGATAATCTTTGATATACATGTAATTCTTTCGAAAATCATTGTAAAAAGGACAAACACAAAACGAATTCAATTTTTTCTGACTAGATTACATGATGAACAAATGCTTTTCAAGTTGTTAATGGGTGGTGTTCTTACTTCATTTACAAATAGGATCAGTAAATCAAGTATATATTTTATTAAATGTTTTCTTAAGTTTTCATTCGTGAGTACTGATAAATATACTTCTGGCTGAAGCAAAGTTTTGAAAGTTTTGTGATATTCATAACGTGAACTATCCTCCAAAGTGTAATGCCATTCTAGGTAGAACTTATTTATAGATCGATTTCGATGTTAATTTGAAACATGTTTACATTTCCAACTGACTTACACAGTCATATGAGCCCTAGGTTGTTTTGGGGTGGCTCCCCTGTCGGGGTTGTTTGGGGTGCCAGGTTCTTGGTACTTGTTTTTGATAACCACTTAGCTTTCCTTCCACATGTTAGGTGCCTTTGGGCTGAATGTCTGGAGGCGCTTGATTTATTGAAAGTTGTTTCTAATTCGAGGTGGGGAGGGGATTGGGCGGCCCTCTTACACCTGTACAGGTCGCTGATCAGTACAAAGCTTGATTGCGGCTCCGTCGTCTGTGATGGATAGCCTTTTTCTTGGGCAGCGCTGTCTAGGATTGTCTTTGCAATGCATCACTAAATTGTATTCTAGTTGGTCGAATCCGGCTTTTGAGTGCGTGTTCAGTCCTCTCTGTGAGGATCGTTGCAGTGGGAAGTCCACACTCACTCAGCAACTCGGAATCAGAATAAAATCTGCCATTTCGGCTTCTGATCTTTGATTGCATGATTCCCACGAAACTAAACTTGTTTCATCTCTTCCTTGGCAACTGGTAAGCCAGAGGTAAACCTTATATTAACAAAACTAAAGAAATCAGATAGTAACCAACTCATTTGCCAACAAGAATACAATCAATTAAGAAACACCAAAGACACTTACAAATCTATATTAACATATGGATCGAAGGCTGGTGGCACAGGTGCTACTGTCACAGTCAATGGATCCAGAGCAATATCTTCACGATTACCAGATGACACTTCCATATTCACAGCAAAAGCAAACGCCATTTTAACAGCACTAACATATATCAATAACCAATCAAAACATAAACAATTCATTATATTTTCAGATTTTATTTCGTGCCTTTAGGCGATTAAAATATGTCATCCAAACATCCACGTTTAATCCAGATTCTTGAATTTATAAATGATCTTGCTACTGGCCAATATGACCTCGTCTTTTGTTGGTTACCAAGCCATGTTGGTATCATTGGTAACCCAATGGCTGATGCTGCTGCAAATGCACCACTCAACAAATCTGTGACACCTCTTCTTATACCATACACTGATTATAAACACATAATTATATCTTACATCCGTGATCTAATGCAAAAGAAGTGGGACACCCAAGTAAGTATCAATAAATTACATTAAATTAAACCAAATATCGGTAAAACTAACTGGGTTGTCCGTCCAGATTTGAAGAGGTCATAATGCGGCGATGTCGTATTGGCCATAGCAGCAATATACGCATGAATATGTAGAACCTCCGTTTTGTATTCCTTGTGTTGAAAATTACTTGCTTTAATGTATTGATTATTCAATTACAGGGGATAAATATTTTAGTGTCAAAATAGTGAAGGCAATGTAAATTCACGTTTAATCATTAACCTTTTAAACGATATTGAACTAATTCACTAATTTTGATTTAGAAAGTTATGTATTTCATAAATCGGTAGTGTATGATTATTAACTGAGATTGTTTGTGGCTGTGCCCTCTAAGGCGGTTAAAGTACCATAAATTTATTTTCCCCTTGAGAGGGTATGTAAGACCACCTCATTCAAAGAATATATGTTTCTACCCCATTTTTACTGCAGAATATTCGTTCCCTTTTTAGCTCTGGATAAACTTGCATCAATTGCCAGAAACTAAGGGATAGGTGTAAATCCTGCTGGGGAACCATGCAGGTCTCCTTGGTCCCTAGTATGGTGACCTTACCTTTGTTGCTGGCGACCTATAGCCTCATTCTTATATTGTCAAAGTCATTAAGTCAAACTGTGATATATTGCAAGTTATTATACTGTCCTTCGTTGACAGATTTTATAAATATTCAGGTCACGCTATTGCTGAAATATTGCCGACGTGACTTAAAATTAAATTCACTCACTCACTCACTCACACACTATACAGTCATATAAAACCAAAACCATGAGAAAATAAAATACTTGTTATATCTGATGTCAAAGTATTCTTTTGCATGTTATATACATGTTTAATCATGTTATAAGCTAATTTATGGAGACGTCGTCATGCATATGAAGACGTTTAGACTAGTATTTCAAACGTCTAATATTGGGCCACTAGCATTTGTTATCGAATCTCATCATCCATCCATCTTTTAACAGGGCAGATGTTCACAGTTGTCACTGATGGGATATACAGATTAATTTGTTAGAAAGTCTGTCAATGTTCACAATTTGATTGGCTATAATAATAAACAAGTCTGTCTTCCAATCTCTTCAGGAACTGAATCACTTTGTTCCAAATAGATATATTTTTGTTCATGGAAAGCAAACTTCGAATAAGGATTCCAGATCGAAAGAGACACTGTAGGACCACCATCGTGTTTTCGAAAATTCGTATCTGTGTTTTTATACGATCTAGAAACATATTTCAAAATTTACACCAACAATTTGTTCCTGTTTTTTTTAGAATATATATGGATGTTCGCGGCGAAGGAAATCTTCTGTTTCATGCTGCCTTCCGACTGGATGAAAACACTCTTGTATTGAACTCACGCTTTGCCGGTGTGTGGGGAACACCGATTGATCTATCGCCAGTCCCATTGGCAGTGGGAACGGAGTCTCTGGTGGAGATACGACTGGATCAAGGCATGTACATGGTATGTTGTTGTTTCTTCAAACATCCTCTACTTGAGCTTTGTCGAAATCACAAATTGGTAGTAATTACTGCGTCTTGGTGGGCATCTGTCTGATCAACATTTAAATAAGACAAAATATGTTTCTAAAGCAGTGAAGGCAATAAACCAGTTTTGTTTTCTTTGGGATCATATGCCATAGGAGCGTGTAAAGTAGGTTTAGGCCACAAGAATGTGTATTTAAGTCATGTCAGGGCATGTCACCCTCACTGTGCCCAGGCTTTTGTAACTCTCAAACCTCTTTGGAGAAACCAACCAGCAGGCATATAGTGTTAAAAGCAATAAAAATCAGTCAGGGCATTTTTTCATTCCCCCCGTCATTTGATGTAACGTTACACAACAATTCTAAATTATATATTTGTGATTTTGTCTGCCTTATTTCAGAATGCAAAATAAACAAAATAGTATTTTACTTTTAAAAAAATATATGAATTTTAATGTATGTTTCATTTTGGGGAATCTTTAACTTTGAATGGCTATTAATTGAGTCACCTCAATCAGAAGAATGTGAATTTTCATTGTAAAATCAAGATGCAGCATTTTTTAATCTGTTATCTTACATCCCCCATTACTACTATGATGAATATCCTGGAACCATTTCGCCCTGTTAGCCTTGTTTCGCACTTGTCCTCACCATGTCCATGTCTCCTATCAAAAACATTGCACAGAATGTCTTTTGTTAATGAGAGAAATGTCCTAAGACAGTGCGTTCGCTCATCACGCCGAAGACCCGGGTTCGATTCCCGACATGGGTACAATGTGTGAAGCCCTATTTCTGTTGTCCCCCGCCGTGATATTGCTGGAATATTGCTTAAAGCGGCGTAAAACATACTCACTCACTCACTCACTCACTCACTCACTCCTAAGACAGTTGTTAGCGTCTCCAATAGAAGCTGTGGTTCCAATAGAACAGAATGGAAACGTAATGCACTGGATAATCTAAGATGCTCCATTTGATTCGTTGCAGCTAGCTGTAGATGGATCAAGCATAAACAACTTCACAGACAGATACCCGAATGAGATCCGAGAAGACGTCCGTATCAGCGGTGACGCCAACGTCACCTCGGCGCACATCACCATATGATGTGATGACTCTCGGTAACAAACCCTGCTAGACAAAAACATCTCACAGCAAAGCTAAAAACTGTTTCTGGACATACAAAGCTATGGGAACATTGTATCATTCTGCACAGTCAGCGGAGTATCAGACATTGTTTTTTCAGATATATAACGTCATGATACAATGGGTGACATATGTTTCAATTACAATTAAACATGGTGGTCTCTCGGCTTGTGTTGTTCTCTTCCTTGGTAAGTGGCGTTTTCAAAGTCGTATAGCTGGAATTTTGCCAGAATATTGCATAAATGTCGTAAAAGGCGACTAACGGGATTGGTTGGTCAGGCTCGCTGACTCGGTTGATGCATGTCATCGTATCCCAATCGCGTCGATCGATGCTCACGATGTCATTCACTGGATTGTCTTGTCCAGATTCGATCATTTACAGATCATATAGCTGGAATAGTCCTGGGTGCGGCGTTAATCAACAAACAAACAAACAAACAAAAAGGATAAAATGCGATCCATAGTTTCTTATGTTTATGACACAATGTAACAATAGCGAACACCATTTGCTTTAATAACTTCCAGATAATATTTATCGAATCCCAAATGGATGCAGCCATTTGTGAACTTGTGGTATTTGCTGTGTCACCTTTCCTCCTTTTATGAGGGTATGGTATTATCCTCGTGTTCGACGTCATGACGATCACATGTTCTTGTTCATCCATCTTATCAAATGTCACATCAAAGGAACATGTCAAAAGAGACGGTCAAGATTGATGGCAGTACTTTGTACTGGCTGTGGAAAGTCTCTTCCGTTTCAGATGTTTATCCCATTGAAGAAGTGAGTGAATGAGTATGGTTTTGGCAATATTTCAGCAATATCGAACTCGGGTCTTCAGCGTGACGAGCGAAAGCTTTAACCACTAGGCTACCCAACCGCCCCAATTGAAGTGACGAGCGAACGCTTTAACCACTAGGCTACCCGACCACCCCCATTGAAGCAAGAGTGAGTGAGTGAGTTAAAATTTTATGTCACATCAGTAATAAATTTAGCCATATCGTGACGAGAAGTGACATATAACACATAGATTTATAGGTAATAAAAACCTGTCAGGAAAGGACAATAGAACAACTAGAGTATCACAGTTTCGATTTTAAAACTAGTTGAGAACATTTAAAAAAATACATTTTCAATCAACAATACAATATAAAAATGGGCTTTAGATCACTAGCAACCAAAGGTAGGCAACCACACGAGAGACTGTGGGGACTCACACTACTTCTGCTACCTGCACGGTTCCCAAGAAGGATTTACACCATCCCTTCAGCTGCTGCTGATGGTACGCAATGAAGTCATTAGTGAAAATACACAAATATTCTACGTTTAAAACTGAGGTATGAATCATGTTCTTTGAATGATGTGGCCTTACATATCCTCTCAGGGGGACGATACTTGTATGCTACTTCAACCCCCTTTGAGGACACAGCCAATAACCATCCGAGTCACAATTATACATTACCAACATAAAATAATATAGAAATATACCTATAATTAAAAAAGAATTGATAGTTTTAAAATGATCCTTAATTGATGATGATTTGAAATATTTATCCCTTGGAGAAATCAACACACTCGAACCAACAATCATAGGTTTCTGGCGTGCCCAAGGGACGCAACTCTGCACAGCGAATCGCATGCATATTCCTATCCTCTGCCTCCAGTTCCAGTTCTACAACTAGCTCCAGACCATCATTAAGAGGATCAAAGTCAGGAACAGATGCCACTGCTTGGCGATTTCAACATAAAAGAGGGTAGTGACCGTTAATTCTGGTTCTGGTGTAAGGGACATAATGGAATCGGCTTCTCAAACTGTGCATACACCACTACCTATGCAGCAGCGATTCCTTATTCCAGACAAAGCCTAAGCACAAAGTGTCATGAAGACACCTAGTCCAAGCATCCTGACCAGCTGGACCTGATCATCACAAGACGGTGCCACCTCTGTAAAATGCTTATCACGTTGCCATTTATTGGCCTGACTGTGACACTGGCCATTGGTCGGGTAGCCTGGTGGTTAAAGCGTTCGCTCGTCACGCCGAAGACCAAGGTTCGATTCCCGACATGGGTACAATGTGTGAAGCCCATTTCAGGTGTCCCCCGCCATAAAATTGCTGGAATATTGCCAAAAGTGGCATAAAACCATACTCACTCACTCACTCACGTGCCATTTATTGGTCTGACTGTGACACTGGCCATTTATTGGTCTATTGCAGGGATAAGATTTAAGCCAAAGAAGATTTACCACACTAAGCTAGAGGGTAAGACTTCCCATATATCCTGCAACCCTCACACCTGAAGAGAGTGGAGTCTTTTACTATTGCCCTGGATGATTATCTGGTTACAGATCCTCCACAGGGAGATGCCGAGCAAAGATGAGGCCATCTGACACAACATACACGCCGCTTCATTCTCAGTCTTTGGGAAGAAGTATTGGAACGTTCATGCCTGGCACAAAGTCCATTCCTGCAAGCTTAACCCTGTCATTGAGAATACACATGTTATCCCATCCAGAATACCCTGAAAGCTCTCAGAAGAGACAGAGACAAATTCCGGAACATCAATGACATGTGCTAACGACTAAAACGCTGCATTCAATCATCAACTACTCAGCTGTACACTAGAGAAAACAGCATAATGGAATCTGCAATAGAAGGAACTGGACAAGACATGTTCGGTGGAGAAGCTGAGCAAATGCGGAAAGGGGCTCCAGTATGAACTTCTGGGTCTATGTTTGTAAGAGGTGGGCGTGTAAGACTGCAACCTCATCAAGAACAAGAGCGCCAAACGCATTTGTAAGAACTATCTCTGGATGTCTTTACCAAACATTGCAGGAAAGCTCTATGCTGGTCCTAAACAGACTACATAAACTTGGTGGTTGGCTGTATCCTGAATCGCAAAAGAGATTCAGTGCAGAACGATACATGACCAACATGATTTTCTCTATGCAACAGCTGCAGGAAATATGCTGAGGGCAGAATGCTGCCACATTCATTGACCTCACAAAAGTTTCCGACTGGCTCCTCAGTATTGCACGTGCTGCCTGAGGCACATCCTTGGAAATACATGTAGAGATTTAGTCACAGACACTGAAGTTCTTTCCCATACTACGATTCCAAGTCTCTTCTCTCTGCTCAAACATCACTGACTTCTTCACTGACTACAGCACTGACTTCAGCACTGACTTTGTAGTTCGGCCCCAATATTGCATGGAGGACGTGGTATTCCTCCAGAAGTTTGGAAGTCTAACACTAAAGTTACTATTTTGAAGCATTAGGAAGTATTTGAAATGCCAATTACAGGCAATTCTGAAATCATGTATTGAGCTGCACATTGTGAAACAAGTCTTCTTTATATATTTCAAAACCCTTCTTTCAAGAGACTCAACATATAGTAAATTCCAGAGTAAGGAACTAAGTGATAGATAAACATATATATATATATATATATATATATATATATATATATATATGTTTGTCCATGGGACGTAGTAGTTCGCAAAAATAGTGTTGTTTCACAAACATGTTCTGCAGTTGTTGCATCCTCGAACATAACTGGAATACTGCTGCTCCCAATGAAATCACCCTGTTGCTACTGTACATAACACACTGAGCGCTTGATTTAGAGTCATGAGTATTTCACAGATGGAACAATCAAGACTAGTGAAGATCCGGGGTAGAATAGGTCTTCAGCAACAGAAGTTGCTTACTTGGTTGATGCCTGTCATCGTATCCCAAATGCATGGATCGATGTTTATGATGCCAGACACTTGGTTGTTTGGTCCAGACACGATTAATCACAGACTGTCAAACAAACAATGGAACAATTAAACCGATAACATCTTTAAGTCATCAGCAATTTCCTCCATCCTCCTCCAGAGTCAAATGGGTTACGTACTGCACCCTAACATGCACAATATGTGTAAACAATATCACTGACCTAAACAGGTCATCAGGAATTTAACAAGGGAAATCGGATATGACGGTTTAGTCTGTATGAGTGAATTATCTTATCAAAAAGTAAAATATCAAAACTTGGTTGTAAAATGATGTGACTTTTGCTTGACTGATTGTATGACTGGTTATTGGTTTAAATTCATGAACCCTATAGCCTACTTGGGTGTTCATATATAACAGAATAGAAAGGAAGCACATGTGCTCAGAAACTTGCATTTACCACATTATGATTCATGCATCCATTTAACAAACAAAGGCTATTAGTTGTCACACTGACTTGAACGTACATAGCTTTTCCCCAGAGAAAGTTAACACTAGCTGCTCAACAGTCAACTTATTCCGTTCAATTCACATGATGAAGAAGTGTCACAGTGTTATTTCTGCTGATCCAATCTGAACGTCACCATCAACCTTGACATTTTGTGGAATGATGTTAGGGTATCTTTCAGTAAAGTTGTAGATGCCAGTTCCGTCCACTGAAAGCTTAATGTATAAAATGCACAGATTATTAAATGAGTGCGTGCTGTCATTATGCATATTCATGATTGAATTAAAGTTGATTTCAGATACCAGATGGGATTGTGGGTTATAACTGGTCCACTACAACCTGTGCTTGTCCTTGGAGGTTACTAAGAGGATTAGTCCTTAGTCCATGATTTGGGTGATTGCGTGTTATCGTACTGCGATGGAGGCTGCTGTCAAACAACAAACTAGCATTTTTTTTCAGATATGGGTTGTGAGAAGGGTTTATTGCCATTTTCAACAGTATTTCAGATATTTATATATGAGGACATGATAGTCATACAGGTTTTCGAAACCGACGTGTGATATTCTCCGGGGACGAGATGATTGATCCTTTCTTTATCTAAATGATCTGTTCCTGAAAATGCTAAAAAGATAATTTGTTCCCTTGACATGCTGAATGTTATGTTGTGGGTCAACTAGACTAGTGCTTGGCCTTCCGGAGAAAACCATCATGCATCGTTGCGCAAGCGTCTCAATACCCAATTTGAATATATTGGAAGTCAATAAGGGACAGGTGCAATATTGACCGTGATTGTTTCAATTCCATCTTTGCATGTTGACGTTAACATTGACTATATTGTGGTTACAGTGGCTGCACACTGATAAAAACATCAACACCATGTCTTTGTTCACCTCATGGAGTCTGCTCATTGGATGGTCCTGGGATGTTATCGAAAAACTATTAA